AACAGTCTTCTCCTGTAAAAATTACAGTCTAGGAAACCCTATGGGCGGTTCTACTCTGTCATATAGGGATGCTATGAGTCAGATCCACTCGATGGCACACAACAACAACTACATCAGTATGTATGGGTAGACAATGTGTGTGTAATTTCAAATGTGAAAAATCTCAACAGTCCTTTTGTGTTGCCAGTTAACAGATAAATTCAGTATGGGCCAAACAAAAAAAAAACCCAAACTCATTGCTGTCGAGTTGATTCTGACTCATAGGACCTTACAGGAGAGAGTAGAACTCAGAACTGTCCCATAGGGTTTCCAAGGATTGGTTGGTGGATTTGCACTGCCGACATTTTGGTTAGCAGCCAAGCTCTTAACCACTGCGCCACTAGGGCTCCTCAATATAGGCAGTCACCTCAGTTTATAAGTGAACCATATTTAAGTAGGGAATCGTGAAATTTTTTCTTTTTTTTTTTTTTTTAGTAAGTGACTCACATTTTCTGGTAGTAATGGGAGTTGTTAAGATGTTTTTTTCCAATGTGGCACTTTCTTTTGAAAAATGGAAAACACTCTGGAGAATTACATGCTTAACATGAAATGAAAAAAAAGTAAGTCAAACATAGCTCTTTGTTAAAATATAACTAGGTCACTCAGAGTTAATTTACATGCTTATGGTGGGGGGGCTAATTAATACTCTTTCTATTCATCTGATCTCTGATTTTAAAAGATACTGATACCCAACTAAAAATGCAAATCGTACTTTTTAAAGAATTGTCAGAAAGATGGAAAGGATTTTTCTTTTTTGAAGAGCACCTTATCAAAATGGGTTTTTTCTTTTGCAATAATATCAATTACTTTTCCTTGTCTATGAAGTGCTAACTACAAAGAACACATTTATGAATAAATTTTCTCAAAGTCACTGCATCAGTTTGCAAAAAAGTACTTAGAAACTATTTTTATCTCTGTAGTATAAGAGATGATAAATTTTCCTGCAGTATGCATAAAACTCTTGTTGTTGTATGCCGTCGAGTCGATACCAACTCATAGCAACCCTATGTGACAGAGTAGAACTGCCCCATCGCAATTTGCTAGGCTGTAGTCTTTACGGGAGGAGATAGCCAGGTCTTTCACCTGCAGAACACCTGGTAGGTTCTAACCACCGACCTTTTGTTTAGCAGCCAAGTGCTTAACCATTGTGCTACCAGGGCTCCTTTTGCATAAAACTACTATTCTTTAATTATTACTTAAAATTTTACCATAATAACTGATGAAAGGTGACATTTGAAAAATTTTGTTGTGATCTCTAGGTTAGTTTTAAAATTGTGGTCAGGGTTTACCTTGTTTATTTTCTTTTATTGTAAAACATTTTTTTAAATCAAATATAATTGTGAATTCCTTAAGGAAGCACAAGGAAAGCCTGTTACTAACATGAGACCTCCAGTGTCACTGTTTCTTATTTGGAAACTCTTGATTTTTCTGATTGTCATGTCTGTTTTTCACCTTTGCCAGGCTGTTTGGTTGCATGTAATTTTATTTTTTTATTTGAGGGGGTTCAATTGGATTTGTTTTTTTTGTCCTGATAAACAATTTCATAGATTCATAGAATGTCAGAACTAAAGTAACTGTACTGTTTAGCCAGATCTTTTATGGTTTAGGAAATTGATTCCCAGAGAATTTAGGTCAGATAACTAGTTAATGACAGCTAGTACTAGAACCAAGTCTTCTGACCAAGCCAGTGATGTTTCTGTTGTAGCATGGTGCCTGTCTTTACCATGTAAAGTTTATTTGGAGATGGCTTATGACCATGGTTTGATGCAGTAAAATTCTAGTTATTCATATTACATCTTAGGATTCTCCTTCTATTCCAGTAAAAACAATCTCCTTAGAATCCTATATTTGTCGTTGTTGTTAGGTGCTGTTGAGTTGGTTCCGGCTCATAGTGACCCTATGTACAACAGAACAAACACTGCCTGGTCCTGCACCATCCTTACAGTCATTGCTGTGTTTGAGCCGATTGTTGCAGCCACTCTGTCAGTCCATCTCCCTGAAAGTCTTCCTCTTTTATGCTGACTGTCTGCTTTACCAAGTAAGATGTCGTCCTCCAGAGACTAGTCCCTCCTGATAACGTGACCAAAGCCTGTGAGATGAAGTCTCACCATCCTTGCTTCAAAGGAGCATTCTGGCTGTACTTCTTCCAAGAAAGATTTGTTCATTCTTCTGACAGTCCATGGTATATTCAGTATTCTTTGCCAACACAGTAATTCAAAGGCATTTCTTTTTCAGTCTTCCTTATTTGTTGTCCATCTTTCACATATATGTGAGATGATTGAAAATACCATGGCTTGGGTCAGGAGCATCTTAGTCCTCAAAGTGAAATTTTTGCTTTTTAACACTTTAAAGAGGTCTTTTGCAGCAGATTTGCCCAATGCAGTACTTTGTTTGGTTTTTTGACTGCCGCTGCCATGGGGGTTGATTGGGGATCCAAGTAAAATGAAATCCTTGACAACTTGAATCTTTTCTCCCTTTATCATGATGTTGCTTATTGGTCCAGTTGTGAGGATTTTTGTTTTCTTTATGTTGAGATGCAATCCATACTGAAGGCTGTAGTCTTTGACCTTCATCAGTAAGTGCTTCAAGTCCTCTTCACTTTCAGCAAGCAAGGTTGTTACATCTGCATTAACACAGGTTGTTAATGAGTCTCATCCAATCTTGATGCCACATTCTTCTTCATATAGTCCCAGCTTCTCAGATTATTTGCTCAGCGTACAGATTGAATAAGTATGATGAAAGGATACAATCCTGACGCACACTTCCCTGATTTTAAACTAGGCTGTATCCCGTTGGTCTGTTTGAACAGCTTCCTCTTTGTCTATGTACAGGTTCCTCATGAGCACAATTAAGTGTTCTAGAATTCTCATTCTTTGCAATGTTATCCATAATTTGTTATGATCCACACAGACGAATGCCTTTGCATAGTCAATAAAACACACATAAACATCTTTCTGGTATTCTGTGCTTTCACCAAGATCCTTCCTATGTTAGCAACTCCCATTTCATTGGTAAAATTGTTTCCTTGATCTCGACTATTCTACCACCTTTTTCCTACCATCTTGCATCTTGTTCATCTTTCATTGTATAACTGCTACCATTTTTTCTTCAAAGCCTTCCACATCTGCTCCAGTTCAAACCTCCCCTTTCTATAACATTTTAGGATATGGGGCCCTGGTTGTGCAGTGCTTAAGTGTTTGGCTGCTAACCAAAAGGTCAGCAGTTCAAATCCACCAGCCACTCCTTGGAAACTGTATGGGGCAGTTCTGCTCTGTCCTATAGGGTCATTACCAGTTGGAATCGACTGGATGGCAACAGGTATTATATATTCACTTTCTGTTATTAATTGCTTCATGTGCGTGTTTCCTGTCTGCTCAAGTCCTGTTAGTTCCTTAAGTATGCATTTAAATTATTAAGAAAAATCTTGTTAGAATGTAGGCATACTTGGATGATATTAGTTGGCATTGCTGCAGTATGTTAGACCTACATGTTTGCTCATTAGTTAATTCGAAAGTATTTAGAAATACCTACCATAAGCCAGGCACTATGCTAGATGCCCTGGTGTGGCAGTGGTTAGGAATCTACCAGCTGCTCCTTGAAAACCCTATGGGGGCAGTTCTGCTCTGTCCTATAGGGTTGCTATGAGTCGGAATCTGTTTGACAGCAATTGGTTTGTTTGTTCTTTCTTTTTTTTTTTTTTGTATGCTAGATGAGTTTGTTAACAGAGCAGTTAACTCAATGTCCAGTTCTCTTTATCCTACAGAGTAGAGGGGAACACACAAGAAAATGTCATTGTGATAGAATGAAAAGGAAAAAAAGTGAATTGTCAGTAAAAGATAAGTTATTGACGTCAATAGGGCAAGTACAGGGTGCTATGGAAGCACAAAGGAAGAGTACATAATTCGGAAGGATATCTGGAGGAAGTGCCCTCTAACCTGAGATCTGAAGATGAGGTGACGGTAGACAGAGGTGGGCTTTGGGGATGAAGGTAAAGTGTACCTGGTTAAAGAAAAGCGTATTTATTTCTAAGAAGGAATAGGGCATGCCATTTCCAAGAATTAAAGAAGATCAGTCTTTAACCATTGAGTCCAAGACTGAGAATCACCTGGGGATCTTGCCCTTTAGGGCGGATTCTGATTCAGCCTTCAGTAGGTCTCCAGTGGAGTCAGAGATGCTGCATTTCTAATATGCTTTCAGATGGTACTGATGCTGGTAGTCTGACTGATTAGCAAGAAAGAATCCTTTAATCATTTATAACTGGTCATCCAGCCAGGGCTGCTTTAATGACGTGGGTGAGTCTGAGTTTGCAATTCTTGGAATTTTAAAGAGGTTGAGAACCACAAGCCTGGATAAATGATCATTATTTGTCTGAATAAATTAAGCTTGTTCGAAAAGCTGAAGTCAAATTATTTTTATCTTCACTAATATAAGTTTGATTTTTATCTGTCAGAAAATAGCTATAAAGAAGATATAATAAATCTTAGATTTGTACATTTTGCCTCTTTTTTCCCCAGGCACTCTTTGAAAGTAGTACATTTTAAATATTTGTAGACTTTGATCAGGTAGCAGTCTGAAAATGAATGGCCTGAAAGATTCGTTTATGATAAATTTGTTGTAGCAACAATGTCTTTTATTGTCTGTATTTCTAGTCTCAGAATTGTCAGTGAATATTTTGCTTTTGTGCAATTGATGGGATCCGATGTGTAAATAGATTTCATTGCCAGGAGCCTTATATGTTATTTGTATTGGTTTGAATTTATTTGGAGATGAATAGACTAGTATGAGAGCTAAATGGAAGCTAACTAGGATTGATTGTGGTTAGCTGTTTAGAATGCTCATATGTTCTGTTTTTATGCATTCAGTTCAGTCCTATGAATATGAACACGGTATGTAAATAAAGGTGCTATTGCTTATTTTAATGATCTTTCACCATCTAAGTTTTTATTATATTCTTCTTTTAGAGACCAAGAAACGTCAGTGTAAAGTTCTCTTTGAGTACACTCCACAAAATGAGGATGAACTGGAGCTGAAAGTGGGAGATATTATTGATATTAATGGAGAGGTAAGGAAAACATGTGTGTTAGAGATACAGCAGCAATTAGAATCGATGCTTTGAGTTTTAGAAAAATGCTCTGTAACAATGTTTTTTTCTGTGAGAATTTTTGCCCATTTTATTGTTTTTTAATAAAATTTTAAGATATAGACTTTAAAATGGATCTTTAGTGATTTTATGTAAGATTGTATTATCTGTAGATATAAAGCTTTACACATCTTTGCTATACCTAATATTTGTGTACTGTATTTGAATCTCTTACCTTTAGGAATAAAATTTTTTTTTTTTCTAAAATTTGATGCAATCAAAGTAGCTAAGCCCATAAATAAGCCTTTTCTTTGATTCTGAGTTCACTATAGGTACAAAGCAGTGAAATAGAAGGAATTTTTCTACATTTTAATATCATAGAATGAGATTTGAAGATATTAAAAAAAAATAACTTGTCACACCCCTGCTTTTACCATTGAAGGAGTATTAAAGTTTTATTTGGCAATTGAAGATCTCATTTTCAGAATATATGTATTGATCCATATATTGTTGGAGAGATTGATTTTTGTGTCCTAATGCCATGTAACATAATCTATCACTAATGTTTATGTTTAGGTCAGCTTCTAATATGTTTATATAAAAAGTAATTCTGTTTTATTTCCGTCAGGGGCAATAATAATAGTTAACATTCACTGAGTCTGAATTATGTCCTAAGCGCTGTAGCTGGACATTTAGTAAGTGTTACACATTTATTATTTGCTTTAAACTTTTCAACAACCTAATGAGATAGGAAATTTATCCCCATATTACGTATGAAGAGATTGAATCACAGAAGATAAGTAATTGCCTGTTCTAGTTACTGTTGTTCATAACAAACCACCCCAGACTTGGTGGCAAAGACCAATTGTTTCATTAAGCTCATGGGTTTTGTGGGTCAGAAATTCAGAAAGGGCATAACAGAGATGGCTCGTCTCAGTTCCATGACTGTCTGGGTGCCTCAGCTGGAAAGACTCGAGGCACGTGGCTGAAATCGTAGGAAAGTTCCTTCACTCACATGGCTGGTGCCTGCAGGCCTTGAAGACTAGGACTGTTGATCCAAGAGCCATTGACTTAGCTTTTCACAGTATGAGACTCCAAAAACTGACTGCCTGAGTTCAAATTCTGACTCCCCTGCATACTAGGCATATGAACTTGGGCGAGGATGGCTGCAACAAGATATCTCATCCCACATGATCATCTACAATGTGACCTTGACACTTCTCTAACCAAGAAGTTGTGAGCTTTGTCCCTTCCCACCCCCTTCAATCTAGGTGGCTTCTGATGCATTTGTAACCAACAGAATGTGTTGAAAATGACACTGTATCACTTCCAAGGCTACATTATAAAAGGCAACACAGCTATCAACACATTCTCTGAAATGCTTGTACTTGGAGCCCTGAACTGCTGTGTAATAAGTCCGACTATCCTGCGATCCTGAGATAGAAAATTTTTTAAAAATATTTTGAACAGAAAAAAGCTTTTTTTGTAACTGTGATACTGTATGTACTTAATGCTGCTCCGTGAGTTTTCACAGTGAATAGTTTGGTCTTTATAAAATAGATTTTACCCATTAAATCATGTTAGCATTCCTAGCAGAAGCTATTTAAATAGTTATTACATATTTGATTAAGTGGCTTTATGGAAATTATATAACCCCGTTGTTAGTGGGAGTAAATACTTCTTTTCTAAAGAGTTTCGTTTATGACACTAATTCTGGTTAAAGGGTGTGGGTGGGAACTTAGTAGAGCCAGGCATCTGGATTTTTAAAAATAGGTGATTCTTGTGTTATACTTGGGTTAAGAATCACTGTTTGAATGAAAAGCCTTAGTGATTTTCTGCGTGAATTAAGAAGTTATATTCTTATATTTGTCAACCTTTTTTCAAATCACAAATTTCCAGATACTTTAAATAGTATTTGTTACAATTACAAACTGAGACTCAGTAGTGTTTAAGAAAGTGAAATTCCAGAATAAAGTTATCTAGTTCTTGCTATTAAAACATAACACATGGTTATCCGATATTTTCATGGGAATTACTTACTTCATAGATGGCAATTGCGTATAAGTGCTCATTGTAAATATTGCACACTGCTGTTGACGTATGATTAATTCCATATAAGATTAATCCAGTCCACTTAGATTTAGCTTAATATATACTTTTTCCCTGTTGTGTTTTCTTATAGTTTTAAAGGGGTTAATTTGTATCAATAACTTTTTGCTCATTCCTTTAGTTAGCCTAATTTTCTCACAGGAGGAAGATTTTTACTTAAAATAAATAGCCTTTTATTATTCTTGAGTTGTGAACTCTTCCAGGTAGAAGAAGGCTGGTGGAATGGAACCCTGAACAACAAGTTGGGATTGTTTCCCTCAAATTTTGTGATAGAATTAGAGGTAACAGATGATGGTGAAACTCATGAAGCCCAGGAGGACTCAGGTAGATTGTTTGAACAATTTGAATTGATTTAAATAAACTTTATATATGATCTAATTTTTATTATTTATTTTTTTGAAACTCTGTTCTTATTTGGTAACTGTCTTGGTCATCTAGTGTTGCTATAACAGAAATACCACAAGTGGATGGATTTAATTAAGAGAAGTTTATTCTCTTACAGCCTAGTAAGCTGTAAGTCCAAATTCAGGGTGTCAGCTCCAGGAGAAGGCTTTCTGTCTGTGTCGGCTCTGGAGGAACGTCCTTGTGACGCATCAGTCTTCCCTTGGTCTAGGAGCATCTCAGCGCAGGAACCTCAGGTCCAAAGGACGCACTTGGCTCCTGGCACTGCTTTCTTGGGTCATATGAGGTTCCTGTGTCTCTCTGCTCACTTCTCTCTTTGATATCTCAAAAGAGATTGGCTTAGGACACTACTTAATCTTGTAGACCTCATCAGTATAACTGCTGCTAATCCATCTTATTACATCAGAGTGATAGAGTTTTACATGTAAGGAAATCACTTCAGATTACAAAATGGTACACAGTCATACAATACTGGGAATCATGACCCAGCCGAGTTGACGGGTATTTTTGGGGGACACAATTCAGTCCATGACAGTAACTAACCAGAATCCAAACTCTGCTGTTGAGTTAGTTTTGACTCATCGTGACCCCGTGTAATACAGAGTAGAACTGCTCCATTGGGTTTTCTGGCCTTTCTTCTGTGGTGCCACTGGGTTGGTTCGAACTCTGCCAAACCTTTAGGTTGTAAGTTACCGCAAACCCTTTTGGTAACTAGATATGTAATATTTTGAGTTATCAGGTTCAGTTTATCTTCTTTTAAAAATACTACTTATGATAGGGAGCTAAAGTGGACTAAATAGGCAAATTTAATATTTTCCCTGTTCTGATGTCTGCTTCAACCCTAAGTAAACCTTTTATACTCTGATTATAAATGATTTGATATATTTTATCTGTTTTTTTTTTCCCAATTAAGATATATTTAATTTTGATCTGCTGAGTTTGCAAATATCCTATCAACTGCAGAAATTTTTGATTTTTTTCTTAAATAATATCTTCCTTTTATTGTCCGTATTCATAATATAGATTCTGTTTTCCTCTATGCAGCCAGACTGTCATATCATTATTTGTGGTTGCTGTCATTTAGAGACTCACACACATATTCATCTTAATTTGATCATTATTCAAGAGTATGATAGATAAAAATTTTTCCCAAAGCCGGATTTAATTTTTCTATTCTCAAGAATTGCTGTGGGATTTAGGAGATTTTTTTTTTTTCCCCAAAAGAGGAATTGAATTTATAAGTGGTAATAAAGAATAAGTAGATCTTTCTCTTGATTGAAAAGTATACACAGTGAGGGTTTTTCAGAGATTTGTGTTGCTATTAGTAGTATTTGGCAGTTTTGCTAGAATGTTAGTCTCCCTGATGGTAGGGACCTTGTCTTAGTCATTTTTGCTTAACTGTAGTTTTTTTGGTTGCAAAATATGAATAATGATGTTTATCCAAATGGATTGTCAAAATTGGCAAGATCATTTATAAAGATAATGCCTGTAACATAGTGGATTGTTTTTAACTATTTCTTTTACAAATAAATACCATCAGTGTTTTATACATGGAAGGTATAAATCATTTGAAGTTAAGCAAGAAAGCATTATAAGGTTTTATGCAGAGAAAATGGATTTATAAGCCTCAATGTACTCAATGGTAAAGGATAAAATTTAGAGGAAAAAGAATTCAAATAATAATTTTAAATTTAATAGATGATGTGGTATTAAACATAACTGATAAAAGAGACGTGGAGATCATTGTAGAGATTATTCCTAAAGTTTATGTGAAGAGTTTTTAGTTCTACCATTTTAGACTTTATCCAGAAAGTTTCCTAAAACTTTTGTCCTCATCCGTAATCATGGTTTGTTTGCACATGAATGATTTATGCAGGTTTTTTTGTTTGTTTTTTTTCTACTCTTTATTACTTGGAGAAAAGCCAAGTAATGAAACTGTATGAAAGGGCATGAGGAGATAAAGCAAGCTTAGAAACATCTAGATATTGAGCTAGAAAGTCCTAGTATGACACCCTCATTTTATAGCAGAGAAACCAGGACTTTGAGAAGTCATGACTTACATATTTTTCTACATACATATTCTCCTTACAAGAATCAAGACTTCTAAGAATTTTGGCTTTCTGATGCCTTCCTGTGTACTTTCCTCACTACTTCTCAACTTGTGGATCCATCCTTTTAATGCCAGTATAGTGATGTTTTTGAAACATTTTTTAACTTGGAGCAAAATTCCAAAAATAGTACAAAGAGCCCTCATGTTTATATATAGCCTTTACCCAGATTCACCGATTGTTAATGTTTTGCCCCATTTGCTAATTTGTTATTTACTCTCTAAACAAAACAAAACAAACCAGTTGCTGTCAAGTCAATTCTAACTCATGGCAGCTTCATGTCTACCCAATAGAAATGTACTCCATATGGTTTTCAATGGCTATGACATTTCGGAAGCAGATTACTAGCCGTTCCTTCCAAACTCACCTCTTGGGTTCAAGCCACCCCAACCTTCATGGTTACTAATTGATTGCTTAACAGATTTCACTACCCAGGGATGCCTACTCTCTATATATCTATATATTTTTTACCTTTACCCTTTTGTACTTCAGTGTGTATTTCCTAAGAATAAGGCCAGCCTTTTATGTAACCATAGTATAATTTTTAAAATTCTTTCCTCCAGTTCCAATTTAATACCACAGGGTATATTCTAGTCTCCAGTAATTGTATTTTTAAGCCCATCAGCAATAGAGATGAATGAAATGAATAATTGAGTTTGCTTTATTTAAGAGAATTTAATTTTCTTTATTGTTTAAAAAAAAAAACACAACAAACCCATTGCCGTTGAGTCGATTCCAACTCATAGTGACCCTATAGGACAGGGTACAGCTGCCTCATTGGGTTTCCAGGGTTGCCACATCTTTCTTCCATGGAGTGGCTGGTGGGATCGAAGTGCCGACCTTTCAGTTAGCTGCTGAGTACTTAACCACTGCGCTACAAGGGCTCCTTTTAATTATCCTTGTAGGTTTTAGTTATCTATGCTTTGCAAGCCGCACTATATTGCTTTTGAACATAAAGGCAGTCTAGCATTAGACTTGGAAAGATGAATGCTTAAAGAGCAATATTACAATCTTCATTGTTATCAAAAGACTGTTATAGGTATGGAAAAACCAATATCAACTCAATTTCTGAAAAATCGGTGTAGAATGCACCTGTTGGAATTTTAGAAAAGTGACAAGAAAACAGTATATAGCTCTAAAATGAAAGCTAGGAATAATGAATAAGATATTGAGGAAAAATGAACAGTTGACTAAATAATATAATTTCAAGTAAGGGTATCAGGAATTCATTGCAGTAATAATAAGTAGTAGAGTGAAAGTGTAAATACATACAAATTAGATCATGTATAAATATGTTGTATAGCCTTAACTCATGCAGAACCTGTACATAGACCAAGAGACAGTTGTTGTTTTAACAGAACAAGGGGATACTGCATAGTTTAAAATCAGGAAAGGTGTGCATCAGGTTGTATCATTTCTCCATACTTACTCAGTCTGTATGCTGACCAAATAATCGGAGAAGCTGGACTATATGAAGAAGAACATGGCATCAGGATTGGAGGAAGATTCATTAACAACCGTGCTTGCTGAAAGTGAAGAGGGCTTGAAGCACTTACTGATGAAGGTCAAAGACTACAGCCTTCAGTATAGATTACACCTCAACACAAAACAAAAATCCTCACAACTGGACCAATAAGCAACATCATGATAAATGGAGAAAATATCGAAGTTGTCAAGGATTTCATTTTACTTGGATCCACAATCAACGCCCATGGAAGCAGCAGTCAAAAAATCAAATGATGCATAGCACTGGGCAAATCCGCAGTAAAAGACCTCATTAAAGTATTAAAAAGCAAAGATGACACCTTACACACTGAAGTGTACCTGACCCAAGCCATGGTATTTTCAATTGCCTCTCATGCATGTGAAAGCCGGACAATGAATAAGGAAGAGTGAAGAAGAATCGATACATTTGAATTATGGTATTTGTAAAGAATATTGAATATACCATGGACTGCCAGAAGAAAGAACAAACCTGTCTTGGAAGAAATACAGCCAGAATGCTCCTTAGAAATGAGGATGGCAAGACTTTGTCTCATGTACTTTGAGCATGTTATCAGAAGAGGTCAGTCCCTGGAGAAGGACATCATGCTTGGTAAAGTAGAGGGTCAGTGAAAAAGAGAAAGACCCTGGACGAGATGGATTGATTCAGTGGCTGCAACAATGGGCTCAAACATGGCAACGATTGTGAGTATGGTGCAGGACCAGGCAATGTTTCCTTCTGTTGTACATAACGTCACTGTGAATTGGAACCTACACAATGGCATCTAACAACAACAACTCTAATTTTTAGAATAAAATATATAAACTAAGGAAGAAGTGGAGGCAGTTTAATTAAGTGAATTTTTCTTAAGCTTTGCTGACTTTGTGATGGTATAAAGTCCTTCCTGCAGTCCAAAAGCTTAAGGTCTAGGCCTAATGGGTTAAGATAGATACCAACCTGAATAAGTATAATTAGATCATAGAGTAAAATGATCTAAGTTCCCTTAGGAAGGTACAGGAAGTATTGGAGGGTATGTTTCTAAATGGAATACTTTGTTTTACTTAATTTGAAAATTTTCATCTTTTCAGAAAAGTTTCGGGAAACATTAGAAATGTTATCTGTGACTGTAACTATTTTCATTTGAATGTTATCTTTAAACTCCTTTTTTTCCCCTTCTTCTAACTGTTCTTTCCGTTGTTTCCCTTACTGTCCTCTATTCATACTCTTATGATGGCATTTATACCTGTCATACATGTTTACTATCTTTCCTGTCCAATAGGATTTCAGATGTTTATGGGCAGAGAACTTACCTTACTTTTCTTTCTTCCGCA